TTTGTCTTTCTGTGGCTCTAATAAAGTCTGTGTGCTTCATTTATAGAGCTATAATATAGGTCGCGCTTTCTCTTTCTGTTTGCTCAGTTTTTTAAACACCGAACTTCAAACTCATCGATGCCAAATTGTTCATTCTTGAAGTAAACTTGTGTCCGTTTGGTGATTAAATAAGCTGTTTTAGACTGCTGCTCGAGTTGAACGCGACGCGTCCGGAGTGTGTGTGATACCGGTGAGTTCTCCTAGACTTTTATTTTGATTAGATAATCATCAAGTGTTCAAGAATAGAAGCAGAGAAAGTGTGAGAGTATACATACAATATCCATATGTATATAATTTTAATGCTATAGCCTTTGTGTATATATTTAAAGATGTGCATCTTTAAGCATGACAGTTGAAATGAAATGGTAACACTTTAAAATAAGTCCATTTGTAGCATTAAGATTAATGAAAGTATTGTTCCTTGTTAGAGTGTGTTAATTTCAACATTTACTATTACTATTTTTTTTTTACTACTACTACTAGTATGGTTCAGTACTGTTTTTGTTAATAAAGCACTATTTTAGTTTTTGTTCAGTATCAATTTTAAAACAATCGGTTAATTCATCGGTATCGGCCAGTGTGGTCCAACCTAGCTATCGGTATCGGTAACTATCGGTCGACCTCTAGTTTGGATGGTGTGCTATTTTAGAGCTATTGATATACTATTGTAGTTTTTGTTAATATTTGAATACATTTTTTATTATTATTTATTTATTTAACGTTTTTCTTAGGGTCTAAGAAAGATCAGCAAATCAATCATTGTTGGCTGTTCCGCAGTCCAAAAAGAAGTCAAAAGGTGATCATGTTTTTTCGGTAGTAGGCCTAAAATTGTGGAACAGTCTCCCCCTTTATATTCGGCAGGCTCCTTCTATAGAGGTTGTTAGGTCTCAGTTGAAGACACATTTTTTTAGTCTGGCTTTTCAAGTAGGGACATTTTGATTATGGGAACCCTTACAATTGTCTGTTTTATTTGTGTGTAAGTTATGTTTGTGTGTTTGATGTTTATTCTTAATGTTTGTGAAGCACATTGGGCAACAAAGTTGCATTTAAATGTGCTGTATAAATAAATAGAAGTTGAAGTTTCTAGATTTTATAAAGTTTTAGTTTTCATTATTAGCTTAATTAGTTTATTTTCATTATTTCAACTTAAACAAAACAAAAATAAGTAATGCTGGCAACTGGCTGAAATATATTTTTTTAATATTTTATTTAAATATTGAAAAAATATACAGTATATTTTACATGTATTTTGGTTAATGATTACTATTACTATTTCAAGTAATAAAATAGTTATTTATGGTTTTGGTTTTAGTCTTAGTTTGGAACAACATGAAGGTAACATTTTCATTTTAACGTGAATTGCCATTAACTCCTGTCTTCAATTACTTACATCCACCATATATTGTTTGACTTGCACAGCTCCCGAGCAGGTTCCAGCTTCCCAGCATACAGGGATCATCACAGAGTGCTGTCATCTTCACGGGTCACCATACCTCCAACGGCTCATCAAGAAATGATGGCGTCACAACCACACGTTCACCATCTCAGACAGAGCTGATACCTAATCATCCTTCACTCTCTCCTCTACAAAATGGCCTTTGTATGCACTCCCATGTTTTAAAAGCCAGTGGCACTATCATTTTATCTGATGACATTCTAAACTCAGGTGATTTCCTTGAGGAGAGACATTTGAGTGACGTGCGTGAAAAGCAGATGGAGTCTGACTGGGACGTCTCTCAGAGGGCAGGAGAGCGGCATAGATGTGAAGAACTAAAGTCACCTCACACGACCCTGAAGGAAGTTGAAGTGTCCTCTCAATCTGTGACCGCGAAGAAGCCTGCAGACATTGTGTCATTAGAGCAGTATCTGAACCGCAGTCCTTCCCCAGATACCACTGATCCAAGAGATTCCTCACAGTACATGAACTCTGGAGGTGAGGATGAGGAAGGTGACTCCACGCCAAGACATCAAGATCTTTCAGGTTTGAATTTTCTGCTTAATTAACTGCAATTCTACATTGTGATTAAGCAGAATTATTGATATGACGTGACAATTTTTTTTTTTTTGATTAGCCCATTTTAAGAGTTATACATAATCATCTACACATTTCAGATGACACTAACAGCAGACATCACGCTTTGAGAGGAGATGTTGTAATTCAAGAGCAAAGTGTAATACCCTTTCAAACACACAAGCAGGTCAACACACAGGAATCTGGAAGACTTCACTCTCTCGAATCCCCCAACAGGTACAGTTGCTTGGATTGTTTGACTAATTTCTTCTTTCTGAACACAGCCAGAAACTATGGACCCAAAGACTGGCCCTACTGAATGTTTGCTACTCCAAAAATATATATATATATATATATAAAAATATGTTCCTTGAGGTTCACCTATAATGTTCATAAAAAAAAAAACGAAAACAGTCATTTGTAGCCATAATAATCCTCTGTCTGAAATTATCTGTTTTAAGGATGCGGCCCTTTTAACGCTTTAATTGCCTGAAAAAAAATATTATTGTCACCACTATTGCACATGCTGTCAGATCCAATGCGATAATGGCTACTTCATCTTTCAACAAAAGTTTCTTTGTGAACTCTTTATTACACTCTGCTTCGTTTGCAAAACAGTCTGCAGTCAAATGTTCCAAACAAACATATAATCCTCAGATGATATCTGGGATGCCATTAAAAATAACCTATCCACTGTTCCTGATGCTTCCTTCTGAAGGCTGTACAGACGCAAACATGTTGTTTAAACAGGACGAGTCAAAGCTAACGCTCCTGTACTCTTCCGTTTGTCCTATTGTCAGCAGTAGCTCAAGCGTGTGTCAGAAACTGAATGCTCATTTGTATACTGTATACAGTGTAGACAGCATCAGTACTTATAATGGGTTCTATTTGCTTTTTCTATTTATTGGTGTAGCCAGGTGCCAGCTATTTAGTTGACTAAAAGCAAGTGGGCCTGGCCAGTGGTGTGATGATGTAAACTAATCGTCACTAGGTGTGTCTGACTTAAAGGGGTCATATGATGCAATTTCAAATTTTCCTTTCTCTTTGGAGTGTTACAAGCTGTTCGTGCATAGAAAGAGATTATCCTTTTTTAAAAGTTAAGACTTGTCCATGCCCTCCTAAAACGCCTCGTTTAAACACGCCCCCACATGTCTATGTCACTGTGCGGGAAGATTTGCATAACACCGCCCAAATGTTCACGCAAAAAAAGAAGACGTAACTTTTATTCTCGCTGTAGTATTGTTGTTGCCGCCGCCATGTCGTGGAGACGCTGTGTGTATCGTTGTGAAAGCGAAACTACTTTGTTTGGTCTTCCAAAAGAGGACGATATCCGCTTCGTCATGCCTGGAGCTGATCCGTGCTGGTCGCTGAGGAAATACATCAACTTCGCTCTGTGGATCGCCGGATCGGCTTTCACCTTGGAAGAAGCGGAGTCCAGTCCGGGGTCATCACATGTGGTTGCCGCAAGCCCGCCGGACGCTCCTTCGTCGAATCCGCCGGCCGCGCCGTTCTCTAGCCTACCGGCCTCTGCTCACTCTAGCCCGCCATGTGTGACGCTGTGTGTTTCGTTGTGAAAGCGAAACTACTTTGTTTGGCCTTCCAAAAGAGGACACGACTAGAAATCAGTGGTTAAGTTGTATTTACAACACTGTTCCAGAACACTTCAACCCAAATATTCAGATGTGTGCAGCGCATTTTATGGAGGACTGTTTCCTGATCCTGGTAGAGTAACGTTAGCCTACAAGGCTGTTTCTATAAAGTGGGGCAGTTCCGACTTTGCTAGGACAGTCTGGCGCTTATGACTCACAACCTGTAAGTACGCTTTTTTATATTTAAAGAATTTGCCACTGACGATTCAAACGTGAGTTTTGAGCAGTGTAGAGTAGCGCTTGTTGTTTGTCTTTTCCAGTAGCGGGCCGTGCATTTTACACCTAGGCCTTCAGTGGCGTCCTACATAAATTAATCCATCTCTTCATACCATCATAATGATGCCACGGCTATGGAAACCATAAATATTACACAGTAATGCAGTATAACAGGGCACTACATAACAGATTGGATCTTATGTAGCGAGAATGAATGCCATTACTAAAGAAAGAAACCCAATTAAGAATTGCGCAACACATCATCTGTAGCTGAAGCATTAACCTAACAGAATGACACACATACAGTCCATCCGATGTTCTTACAGACGTTTACTCACCCAAACGTATTTATACTTTACAGATAGCATTGGTATAAAACAAATAAGGTGATTACATGTGTTTAAAGTTGACCTAACAATGTAATGTTCTCTTACTGCTTTTTTTCGTCTTCACGAGTCCCCCCGCCGGTCTGCCAGCGCGCTGCGGGAGGAAAATACTGGTTAGCACAGCTTTACTAGGAAAGTTAGCAAGTAACATTAAAATAATTCATACAAGATGATGAAAAAAAGTGTATAGATGTGTTTTAACGTACCTCTGTGACTCTCATCTCCCCGCTGGTCTGCCTCTGCCAGCGGCCAGAGGAAAAGACCGGTTAATACAGCTCCACTCGGGAAACTGAGATATTCTTACGAAAACTTAAACCTGGCTTTATATCTCGCAAATAACATCAGCATACAACGCATCAAGCGATAAAAGAGTCAAAAACGAAAATTAACCTACCATACTCTAGTGGTTTTTCATCTTCACGAGTCTTTCACAGAGCCGGTGCTGAGGAGGTGTGTGGTTGTTTTTCACAGTCATTTAGGACTACTGTTTTTAGATTGACTAAATATAGTAAATATTTAGGCAAATATTTTTTTCTAAACCTGAGAAACAGTAATAAAAGTTTTAATAAAATGATTTACTGTGATGTTGTTTGCTAGCTAGTATGCTGACCATCCAATCAAAGGACGAGAAAGGCTGACATTATCGTTAGCCAGCTAGATGGCCCTGGTGCTGCCAACTCAAAATCTGATTGGTTAAAGCAACGGTTTCATTGCCATTGATTTAAGCTAACAGACGCCTGCAATGTTGATTCTGAAGATCTTAAGGCAGATTTCTTTGACCCTGGCAACACGATTGCTGAAATATGATTGGATAAAAGCTCTAATATAAACATACACTGCTGGAAGCAGTGCAACCAAGAGAAAAGCTATGAAATGAAGAGAATAGACTATTGGAAATAATTTAATACACATTCATGGAAAAATATATTAAACTAAATCAGTGATTCTGATAGTGTTTAGGCCAGCAGAGAAGGCTTTGCTGTCCCTGATGGCCCACCACTGGTCTTTTCTCAGACCACAAATGCAGACATGGTTTTATGTTTACGTGGCGCGATACGCAACGCGTAAAAATACAGTATAAGTCATTATAATCAGTAATTATGTCCCCACTGGATGCAACAAATGCCACATTTGTAATGGTTTTATTGGTGTTGTCTCATCGCGCCGGGACATGGCATCATAGTATGGTAGGGGCATAACATTTCCGTCACACGCTTGAGGAATTCGGCCAATCACAAACACACTGGATAGCTGGCCAATCACAGCACACCTCGCTTTTCAGACCGATGAGCTTTGTAAAATTTGACGCGTTTCAGAAAGGCGGGGCATAGAGGAGAAACAATAATGTACATTATGTGAAAAATAATGTGTTTTTTAACCTTAAACCGCATAAACACATTGCATTACACCAAATACACAACATAATATTCTTTTAAGCAACATCATATGACCCCTTTAAATTGCACTGCACAAACCGATCTGTGGATGACAGCCATAGAGAGCTATAGGGAGCAGACATCTCCATATGCTTTTGAATCACTCTTGCGGTACTTTGATGTCATACATGATCAGTCTGTGCTGTGCGATTAAAGTCGAACACACCTGCAGTATGCTGCATCCCAATTCGCCTACTTATACTAGGCCCGTACTCTTTTTGTGCATAAAAAGTACATACTTTTGAGTATGTAGCAGAATAGTAAGCAAGCTTTGGGGCATAGTCATAACTGTGTCCTTAATTAGTTAAAGCTGGAATACACTACACAACTTTTAAAATCTGAAGAGATTTTAAAATGCTAGGCATCATACATTTACCGACTTTGTAAACAGTCACAAAGGAAAAGCTGGGCATCACTTCTAGTGTGCATCGATCTGCACTGTGAATTCTAACCGGAAGTAGACCATCCGGGAATCTTTGGCATACTCTTTTTAAAAAAAAAATGTTTTCCCTTTTTTTTAACATGCTATGATTTGGGACATACTAATTTTGTTTTCGAATACTATTTAGGATGGATAATATGCGAACTGGGACGCAGCACTAGACTTTAAAGTTGTTCCAATCACAACATACTGACACAGAAATGTGCACCTTGTTGCTACAACCCTCTATGCACACCTTGGCAATATAATCGCGACTGGTTAGTACATTTTTTTTGTTTACTCGCCAGACTGATATACTATTTTACACACACACACACAAACACACACACACACACACACGTTTACTTACTTGGCTATCTAAATGGGGACATTACATAGACTTCTATTGTTTTTATATACAGATAGTTATACACTTTTTAATCTAAACCCACCTCTACCTCTAACCCTACCCCTCACAGAAAACTTTCTGCATTTTTGCAATTTCAAAAGTAAAAAAAAAACTTTAACAGTTTTACAAATGAGGACATCCACAAATTGAGGTTTTTGCCGATTTTGTCAGGCTTTGCTCACTTTTGGGTACAAATTTGTCCCCAAAATATGGTTAAGTAGGTACACACACACACACACACACACACACACATGATTCCACCCAATCAGCTTATCTTTGTAAAATGGAACAGCTTCTTAAATAACTGAATGTGCACTCTTAACTTCAGCCAATCAAGCATCATATTATGATAATTAAGCACTATTTAATGATAGATCTAGTGATTAGAACTCAAACTTGATAACCATGAATGAATGCATATTTGTCATTTTAACTGAACTTAGGACTGGTGGTAGTGTTTAAGATATTGTTGGTCATAGGTAATAGTACCGGTAATTATTATTAAAAGATACTACTACTATTATCTGCTGGGTTCATGAATATTAATCACGTTGTCAGCGTTCGCTCGAATTGATTTGCTGAAATCAAAACAGGGACGGTAATAGATGAGTGCCAGCCAATGAGAGCAGTTCGCGCATTAGCTCCGCCCACTGCCGGAGAAACCGGCATATTTTCTGCTTGTTCTTAAAAGCTGAATAATACTAAATTAACTCTGTTATTCTGACAGGAAAATACAACAAAGAATATGGTTTACATGTAGTGCGTCGATTCAGCGTGATATGCAAGACACTCTCTCTCTCTC